GAGCCCGATGTGGAACTCGATCCCGGGACTCCAGGATCATGACCTGAGCCGAAGGCAGTCGCTTAACCAACTGAGCCACCCAGGCGCCCTGACGGTGTCTAATGCCCTTGTGTCTCTTGCTTTATTGCATATGGTTAACACTTTAAATAATCCTTGCAAATAAATGGGATTGGCTATGGAGAACAGGTGCTGTGTGTTCTGCACACTTAAGTTTCCTTAAGTAGCTGAGTGGTTGAATTTTGTGCCAAGTGAAACTGGAAAAGAATATATAGGTAGAAGTCATAATCTCCTGCTTGTTCTTTGAAGACCCTTTGAAAAAAGCTTACTGTTCTTTTTTGTAATGCTTTTATACTAACTACAAAGTTATGAGCGTCATTATTGTCAAATAATACAGATCTTCATAAAAAGGCTAATATAACTAAGCCAATATAATTTAGCCAGATTAGATCTAGGTCCATCAGTATGGGGTATTGGAAAGTTTGATTCAAAATCTACTCCCAGATTTATTTAGCAAATTGCTAATTAGAATGTACCCCTTTACTGTTGTTGGAATATAAGTACGATATTTGTAATACTCTTTTTTTTTTTTTAAAGATTTTATTTATTTGACAGAGACAGAGATAGCGAGAGCAGGAACATAAGCAGGGCGAGTGGGAGAGGGAGAAGCAGGCTTCCTGCCGAGCAGGGAGCCCGATGTGGTACTCGATCCCAGGACCCTGGGATCATGACCTGACCCAAAGGCAGACGCTTAACGACTGAGCCACCCAGGCGCCCTATTTGTAATACTCTTAAGATTATTGGGAGTAGCTATGAAGCATAGTTTTCCAGATGTTTGCTACAATTTTGGGATTATTTTTTTACTCAGACTGTAGAAGATATGAAGTTAAAACTGGGCAGCAAGTGCCATGAGATCAATTTTCAGCAGTACTAGTTTCAGGTTTTTAGCCAAGTAATGTGTGTATATGGTTTTTAAAAATCAATGAATACCAAAATGATTTTTAATGAACTGAAATATTCTTCCTCTGCTTATCTCATCCCACCCTTTCCAAAATATTCCTTAACATATATTCCTAGAGATGAGCCCTTATTGTTTTAAAGTTTTGAATGCAGGAGCCTATCTCTTACCTTATGGTATTTCACATTCTAATAGAACTCAGTGAGTAGGGAGAGTTACTTGACCAGACTCTGTTTTTCCCGTACATATCTTAGAGTTAATTGTACGGGGGCGTTTAATAGTTTATCATCTTTGAATTGATCACAGCCCTCATATGTTATTTTAATTTTTAGAGAGTTAAAAGCTTAAAACTGAAGTGGTACTTAATTCATGGCCTACTCTAAATGCTTAACCATCTGAGAAATGTATGTGTAAATCTTTTTTTTTTTTTTTTTTTTTTTAAGATTTTTTTTTTTTTTTTGAGAGGGAGCGAGAGAATCTCAAGCAGGCTCTGTAGCCTCTTGGCGATCTTGAGATTATGACCTGAGCTGAAATCAAGTCAGTCGCTTAACCAGCTGAGCCACCGAGGGGCCCCTATTTAAATCTGAAATATGCTCTTTTACGCTTGTTTGATGTGAGAGTTGATTATAGACCTGTTCCCTTTTAGAAAAGTTTGTCAACAGATTTACATAAGAGTAAGGGAAGCAATATCATTTCTTAATCTATCAATTTCAGTGGAAAAGTGATTCTAAAAGCTGATAGTCTATCAACGGACAGTATTGGCCTTTCCAGGGTTTTCTGATGCTTTTTGCAGGGGAGAAGGAAGCACTAGGTAATTCAGCAATAACTAATAATAGCTGAACAGTCCATCTAGATTATTGCTAGAAGGCTATGCTTGCTTGGTATCTAGGTCTTTTAAATGCCTATTGAGCAGGTTTAAGGGAATGATACCTACTAAAGGTCTAACTCCGCAGTTTATCTTCACTGGGTGGAATATATCATATAAATAGGAGATATCATTCTTTGACCAACAACACATGTGTTTCGATAAAGTTCTTAAGGAATTTTTATAGTCTTCCCCGCCCCATGCAAAAAGTGTTTTTATTAAAGCATAGGGACATAACCCATGGGCAGAAAGAGCTGCCAAGGATTTAGAGTCTTAAGGGAAATATATAAACACTTTTTTTAAGACTTTATTTATTTGAGAGAGAGAGCAGGGGGAGGGGCAGAGGGAGAGGGACAAGCAGACTCCCTTCTGATTGGGGAGCCTGACATAGAGCTTGATCCCAGGACCCCGAGACTATGACCCCAGCTGAAATCAGATGCTTAACCAACTGAGCCACCCAGGCACCCCTATAAATGCATTTAAAAATGATTTAAAAAATTTTTTTTTTCAAAGATTTTATTTATTTGAGAGAGAGAGAGAGCATAACAAGCAAGGGGAATGGCAGAGGGAGAGGGAGAAGCAGGCTCCCCACTGAGCAGGGAGCCAGATGTGGGGCTCTATCCCAGGACCCTTGGATCATGACCTGAGCCGAAGGGAGATGCTTAACCAACTGAACCACCCAGGCGCCCCTAAAAATGACTTTAAAAATCCTCCCAGAAGAAAAATCTTGGATGAACTAATATAATAACTTCCAGGGATTTTTCTTGACTTTTCTAAGATTGCGAAGATCATTGGGCCATTATTTGACCTTAAAAAGTTTTTTTAAAGATGCTTTTTGGTGTTTGTGTGGAATAGTATCTACTTGCTCTCTCTTTAAGTAGCAGGGGAGCAAAATTTCTCTCCACTCAGTGCAGAATGCAGAGCTTCTCTGTATAAATGTTACTGTACCTTATAGAATACTGTTTTTAGATGGGCCAGTTGATCATGCCCAAAGACTGAAAAATAAGGAATATTTAAAATTAATCAGTGGTTATTTGTATTCAGTGACTAAAATTACCGATACAAATATGATGGCCTTTGTCTTTATAAAATAAGGACTTGAAAGCCCTCTGTTAATTCTGAGAAGTTCAGCTTTGAGAAAATGATCTTGTGGACAAGAGGAGACCTAATTCCTACTTGTAGCAGGGGTTTATCCTGCTTATCTAAAGTTAGAATCAGTAATGATCCTCATGGTTTTGAATAGCTATATTCTAATCCTTAATATCTGTAAAATGATGGATTTACCTGTTATCCTTAATTTAAACAATGAAGCCATTCTCACTCATATTTTTCTTTCTTCCCACATGGAAATACCTTCTCACTTTTCCTTCACTTTTCTTTATCATCTTAGAAATTGAATTTTAGGTGCCACAGTTATCCTCAAATACTTAATCTCGGTAACTACAAAAATAATATTTGCTTTATTTATAGGTATTTCTGACTTCCAATGAGGAATAGTAGCAAAAGTCTTTTATTTACTTTGTGGTTGGTAAAAAGATTTTAGGGTTCTTTGTAAAAAAGGAGATTTTTTTCCCCTCAAGTTTGTTCAACCTCTTGCCAGAGCAAATTGAGCTGTAGTAGAAACTGGGAATACATTCTGTGATGTGATTTCTGTGAGTTCTGCATGCATCAGTGTGCCACTCAAGTATTAAGGCACTGTAATAGATTCTCAGTGTGGAAGAGAGGAAGAAGTATCAAATACACGATTAAAACCCATTGTGACCCCCCTAGTAGTAGACATATGTTCAAGGTGAGGAGGCTCTGCTGTGGAGAGAGTAGAGTCACTAATTCTAGCTATGCAGAGAAAATGGGGATGGGATACATGGAAGGCTCCATAGGGAACACAAGAGAGGGTGACATATGAGTAGAGTTTTGAAGGCTGTCTAGTCAGATGGACAAGACGGAGAAGGACATTTCAGACAAGTCACAGAATTGTGGAATCGTGGTGTGTTTGGGGAGTTACAAATAGCTGGATGTGACTGAAACAGTGACAGGTAATGGAGAATGATGCTAGAGAGGTATGGCAGTGTGTTAGCGGAAATGCCTTTATATTAAAGGGAACAGGGGTGCCTGGGTGGCTCAGTCGGTTAAGCGTGGGACTCTTGGTTTCAGCTCAGGTCATGATCTCAGGGTTGTGAGATGGGGCTGCAGGTGTAGGGCTCCATGCTCAGCGGTGAGTCTGTTTGTCCTTCTCCCTTCCTCCTCTCTACCATACCCTCCTCCTTCCCCCTCCCTCCTCTCTCTCTCTCTCTCAAATAAATACATAAATAAAATGTTAAAAAAAAAAAGGGAACAGAAATGGCGCATCATAAAAATAGAGTAGGTCAATATTGATCTTTAGAGAGTTGTCATATTGCTGTAGCAGTTGTTTTTTCTTTGTGGTAACCGTAACGTGTGTGAATTTCACATACCTAAATTATCAAATGCAACACTAATTTTTTTAGAAACGTGATTAGAATGGAAAGAACATTTGTTCAGCATTGTGCAGTATTCTGTACTTGCTTATTTGGGATATGAGGCAGAGGGTCAGGACCTTAGAGAAACTTTCAGTTTGCGTTGTAGAGACATGTGCAGAAATGTTTAACGCAGCATTGTTTCTAATAGTGAAAAAATTAGAAACAAACTAAATGCCATCAGCAGGAGAATATATAAATTGCAGTATATTCATATAATGAGATATTATTCAAATGAATGAGCTGGGTGTATTAGCATGACCAATTTTGAACCAAATGAAAAAATGGCAGTGTGAAACATAAGTATGTTAGGATTTAAAGTTCTAAATCATGGAAAACAGTTGTATTTAGTTTATAGATATGTACATATATGGCAAACATATAAAAATGCATGGAATGGTGAATAGCAAGTACAGTAGAGTGTTTCTGGGGAGAGAGGGAGGGAAATGGGATTGAGGTGGGTATCAGGTGACTTCAGCTAGATATGTGCATATACATATATATTCTTACATGTATGTAAGACATGTGATTCTTACATGTAAGAATTCTTTAGAATAAGGATCTGAAATAAATAAATATGACATGGTATTAAAATTTGTGAAAGGTGGGTAGTAGGTCCACAGACGTTTTATTAATCTTATATTTTTCTGAAAACGTAAGAAAAAGAAAGGGTCAGACAAAGCGATGGACAGAGGCATGAACAGCTGAAGAAGAGAAAATGGTTTTCCAGCTTAGGAATGGGCATGGCAGGTGTGGAAGGCCCCAGGACAGGAGGTGTTGGAGAATCGAGAGTGGAAAGGTGGAGTGAGGACTGAACGTGTCTAACTGAGCCAGACATTCTAGCTAGTGATTTCTTTCTCTTGATGTTTTTTAGAGAAATATGAAACGCAATGGGAGCAGGAATTGTTTGAATAGGCGAAGTAGGTTTGGTTCTCGAGAAAGAGACTGGCTGAGAGAAGACGTCAGGAGAGGTTGCGTCTACCTGTATGGAGCTGACTCGACCTCTGCTGCTGCAACCGCCGCCACCTCCTCTGACTTACATCTTGTCCTGTGCACCGTGGAGACACCAGCCTCAGAAATCTGTGCTGGGGAGGGAAGGGAAAGTCTTTATTTACAGCTTCATGGGGACCTAGTCAGGTAAGCTCGGAGTTTTACCCCTCTCACTCTGTCACTGCGTAAGTGATCTGTGTTGTTTTTTTTTTTTAAAGATTTTATTTATTTATTTGAGAGAGAGAATGAGAGAGAGAGAGAGCACATGAGGTGGGGAGGGTCAGAGGGAGAAGCAGGCTCCCTGCTGAGCAGGGAGCCCGATGTGGGACTCGATCCCGGGACTCCAGGATCATGACCTGAGCCGAAGGCAGTCGCTTATCCAACTGAGCCACCCAGGCGCCCGTGATCTGCATTTCTGCTTGGAAGTGGGCTTTAGGATTTTAATTGTGCTTAGAACTGATATTGATGATGGGATCACTAGGCTTGAAATAAGATTTGTCTTTGGAATGCTGAAATTATGATTCTTGGATTTAAAAGCTATCAGTGAAGGGAAATTTGATAGTTACTTCATTTGGATGACACCACGGGTCAGATATCTAAATTTAAAATAAATATTTTAAAGTTATTTAAAAAAATAGGGGCGCCTGCGTGGCTCAGTTGGTTAAGCGTCTGCCTCTTGATTTTAGCTCAGGTTTCAATCTCAGGGTCATGAGTTCAAGCCCCCCATGCTGGGCGTGGAGCCTACTTAAAAAAAAAAAAGTTATTTAAAAAAATAATACATGTAAATAGAATGAAATTGAAATGTGTAGAAAGAAATAGAATGAGAAGTGTATATATGCTCATGCATAAGTATGTTTCTATTTATATGTAAATTTAAAATTAATGGTGCTATATGCAGCATAATATTGACTTGAAATCTCTTAGAGATCTTTCTATATTAACATTTTTATAATTTTCATTTATTTAATGGCTGTATAATATTCTGTTTTATGAGTCTGCCATCATTTTAGCTGATCTCCTATTACGGGACATTCAAATTGTTACCAGTTTTTTACTTCTACAAGTGGGGTTGCAGTGAGTGTTCTTTTACCTATGATATTTCTCCTGTGTGGAAGTAATCTGTAGGATAAACTCCTAAAAGTGGAATTGCTGGTCAAAGGATATATGCATTTATAATTTTGATACATATTGTCACATTTCTCTTCACAGAAGTTAAACTTCAACAAATAATATAAAAGTATGCCTATTTTCCCCTTAGTTTCTCCAGAACATGTTAGCATTAAATTTTATATATAAATATAGACACATACCCATGCATGAGCGCATACTTGCTTGTGAGTAGAAATGATTGTCAACAGTTTTTAAATTAGGGAATTATAAAGTTAGCATTCCAAGGATAAATCTTTTTTCAAGCCTAATGACTTATATTTTTGCAAATCTGATAGGAATTTTGTATTTTTGTCATTTTAATTTTCTTTTATATTAGTGAAGTAGAGCATATTTTCTTTTTTTATTTTATTATGTT